TTTTAGTTTAACTGTATCTCATAAAGATTTGCTATTTAGAGTTTCCCTAGGGAATTTAGGTGGAAAAAAGGATAGTGAAATAACTGTATTCCTCTCTTTCCCACTCCATATCTGTTTTCATTAGTGATTCCAAGTTCTCTTCCTCCATGGTTGAAGAAGAGAGAAATTGGAAGAAGACCAGCATTTCACTCTTTGGAAGCAGACCCAGAAAATAATTCTATTCTGTTCATTTCTCTTTGAAAATAAATTTTTTTAAATTAAATCTTTCTTCTCTCTTTTTACCTGTTCTTATAGTTGAACGACTAGTAGAAAACTAAGTCAGGTATCTGGTGTTTAATTATTTGGTATTTAGATATTATGCATTTCTTCTCCCTAACTGTGAGTTTCAGCTTTAATACAACAAAAACAAAGCCATTTTTCTAACATCTCATAATGACCTTCTAACAAGTTAATAAACATACACTTTTCAGTTTCCTACTTAATGGCCTGAATAAACATTTTCAAAGGAACTTCCCCCTAAAAAAAGTCTTATGTAAATAACAATAGAAAATAGAAAAAATAAAACAAAACAAAAAAATAATGTCCAACAAGAGTCAAAAACCAGTTTACCGTGCTCATTCTCATACTTGACATCTTCTCCTGATATGGAAGTCCTATTTGGATGTTTGCGGCACTGTGGGCCACAACCTGGATTTATGCCTAGAAATGACCCCGGGGGAATGCTCTGGGGACTACATGTGGTGCTAGGAATTGAAATCTGGGTTGGAAGAATATAGACAAGTGAGTTAACCCCTGTACTATTTATCTGCCTTCTGAAGTGGTGTTCTTTGTATATTAGGAACTATTAAGATAGTACTCGATAGTGTTTTTGCAGTATACGTCGACTCACCTGGAGCAGATGGTCTGAATTTCAAAAATATTAAGCCTATGGTAGATAAGTAAAATTTTCTAAATACATACATTTCCAACAACCTTATAATAAATTGAATCCTCTCAGTACAGTCATCACAGGTGCATCATGGTTTCATTCTAGAAATACTAAAGGTATGACTGTTAGAGCAGAAGCAAGAGGAGGAGAGAGTGGCTGGTAAATAGGTCATTTTAAACCTCTAAAACCTGCTGAAAAAAGTAATAACCCAGCACCAATGCCTGGGTAAAGAAACTGTAGCACCTATACATAGTGAAATACTATTCTGCCATAAACAGAGATGAAGTGATACATTATGCTGTTCTGTAGAGGAATCTGAAGAGTATTCTGAGTGAGGTTAGAGGGAGAGGGACAGACACAGAATGATCTCTCTCAAAAGCAGGGTATATAGAAACATAATAGGAGAAAAAGAGATACCCACAGAAAATAGAAACAACATAAGGACTGGTCTTCAGTAGGAAATTTGGTGACCTGGGGTGGGGGATAAGGGTGGGGGTTGAGGGTGTTCTGCAGGGATAGGTCAGGGAGGGAAACATTAGGACTATGATGGAGAGAAGTGGTCACCCTGGAGAAGAACAGGGTGTTGAAAGGAGGTAAAGTGACATGATTCCTTACCAGCAACAGAATGATAAACCACATTGCCTAGCAGGAAAGAGAGGAAAAAGGAAAAAGTATCTGACATTTGATGCAGACTGGGGGAGAGGGGCACGGAACAGAAATTGGGGGTACTGGTGGAAGGAAGTGGATGCTAATGAAGGGATTGGTGTTGGAATACTGTATGCCTGGGACTTAATCATCAATAACCTTGTAACTTTGCAATTTATGGTGATTCAGTAAATCAAAACACCCCAAAAGGTAGATAATGAGATGACTGGGGGAGGGAGGTAGTAATAGGTCTCCATTTAGGCAATTCTCTCTTTGCATTCTCATCTGTGTCCAGACAGATGGTAGGACAGCAGAGGTTCTCCATCACACCCATGAAGCTATGGCTAGAGACAGCAAGGGCCAAAGTGACACTGAACAGTTTGGATATAGCCCTGTAGAGGCTCAGCACAGAGTACAGAGCAGCAGGCCTTAGCAAGGGGACACAGGTAACAGGGTTCTAGTTGAAATTTCATATCAGGAACGTATACAGAGAATGGCATAGAGACAAGACCAGGTAATCACACATTGGAGGTCAGCAAATGGCACAGGGCCAGGACGACTAACACATTGTCATCTGGAGTGAGCATTCACAAACAGGAAGAGCAATGTCATATTCTAGTTAAAGAAGGGGCCTGGGCATTGAGGAATACCTAGAACCATTACCTAAACTTGACAATAACCTCTAACTTCTTAAATATCTGAGTTTTGTTGCAACTATTTTTTTCACACTGGATTCAAAAACTCACAATTATTTTTTCACACAGGATTCAAAAACCCATGAGTTCAGAAGCAGATCCACTTCTGGGGTAACATGAGCACTCTGTTTTTTGTTGTTTGTTTTGCTTGGGGACCATACCCTGCCATGCTCAGGGTTGTACTCTGGGATCTGGTTTCAGGGATCACTTCTGGTGAGCTGGGGGACCATCTGGGGAACTGGGATTAGAACTCTGATCAATGGCATGCAAGGCAAGTGCCTTACCCACTATTCTTTCTATCTCTCCACTCTCACTGGACACTCTTAAAACTTGCCTTCTGGTTATGTCATTTGAGAACTACTTCTCTACTCTTAAAACAGAGAGAGGAAGAGGGAGAGAGAGACAGACAGAGAGACAGAGAGAGAGAGAGAGAGAGAGAGAGAGAGAGAGAGAGAGAGAGGCCAAAAGGCAAGATCTCTGTGCTGCTTGTCAGCACACTGGATGCTAGTGATGCTGAGCTCAGGGTTCAGCCAAGTCTGATTCTGTCTGGAAGGTGCAGCTATGGCACACCATGTTCTTTTCCCAAAGGAAGATGGATCTCATAGGGAGAAAATGTCATGGTTAAGGGGAGCTGTGGGCAGCCTTCAGGAATCCTGAAAATGACTCCTCCTTGGTTCAGGATCACGGAAAGTCACTACCTGTGAATTGGAATCTGAGGGATAAGAAAAAATGGCGAGCACTGCTAGAACAAACCTTATGACCAATGTGAGGGAGAGGGAGGGCCCACATTATGAAAGTTCTTGGATTTAATGCCTCTAGACACAATAAAGGATTACTACTTTGGGTCTAGTAGTGTTACTCTGGTTTGACTCTTTTCCTGTTGTCTGGGGAGAGGGGGGAGGGAAGGAGGGAAGGATGGAGAGGGAGAGAGGGAGAGAAGGAGGGAAAGAGACCTGACTGGAGCCTTCCTTTAATGGCCTATCTTTTTTCTTTTTTTTTGGGGGGGGGGGGGTAAGAGTACAGAAGTAGTTCTCAGATGGCAAAAATAAAAGGCAAAATACACATGGGCTTCTTGTTTCTGCCGTCAAAACAACAATCAGTGCATTTGGAGAAAACAGCAATTACCAGGAAATCAATTAGCCAAGATGGAAAAAAAAAAATCCCTAAATAGCATTTCACCTCGCAAATAAGAAATCTTCACTGTGGGGCCAGGATAGTTAAGGTGGCATTTAAACTGACCAGATCCTTTCCTTTGGGAAGTATGGTCTCATCCAGGATTGCAAAACTCTTTGGTGTGATCCAGTTTTCTTGGCACAGCATAGCTAGTCACCTAGCTAGCATTTGGAAATGATTTGAAAAATAGTTTAGAACAACCCAATAATAACTACAAGATCAAAAAACCTGACACACTTCACAACTCCTTCCTATTACAAAAATGTGTAAATTGAATTCCCTCTCAAGACGCAAAAAACCAAGGATTGGCTTCCCAAACATGTTTTCATTGGCTTTAGGGAACTAAAACACAGCAGTCCGGGTGACTAATACTTCCTGTAAAATAAAGATAGACCAACACATAATTAAGTTCTGGCTCAAATCTTAACTGTTGTCTTGGAAACAGTTTGGGGAATAAATATGGTTATGCTAATGAAAGCCCTCATAATTTCCACCCGTGATCCAGTTTATTAATGTGGCCAGGCCTTCTTACTACCTTAAGTTACCCAGTTTGCAATAAAGGGTCTTAAAAAGAAAAAAAAGTTTCTTAGAGAACACTGAAGAGAAGACGGAATAATTCCTAATTCCTCAGCCAGTCATTTATCCCAGCTCCTGCTAAGATTCCTTCCCTCTGGTTAGGATCCCCGTAGGAGGAGAAAGTCGGGGGTGCGAGGGACAAGGCACACGCTTATCTGTGGATTTCCAAACTCCTCGGGACGGGGTGGTGCAGAAAGGAGCCGCCTCGGAGACCCACCCTTCCAAGGTGTCAATTTCCATGCGCTCAGAGTTCCAGGATTCGACCTGGGAAGCGCTCTAGGGGAGTGGGGGGAGAGGAACCCGGGCAGCAGCGCTCTCGGTGGCAGCTCCCGGCGGCAGTTGGGTAGGAAGTGGCCGTGCAAGCGTCGCCCGGAGCCGTCTGCTCGCGGGGCGTCCTGCCGGGGCCGGGCGTCAGGTCTCGGCGCTAGAGCGCGCCCCGCGGGCGCCGCGATCACACCCACTCGGGTGTGTGTGTTGTGGGGGGAGTGCGTGAGCGCGAGCCGCGCGGGGCCTGCGCGCGTGCGGACGGCTGTGTGTGTGTGTGTGTGTGTGTGTGTGTGTGTGTGTGTGTGTGTGTCCGGGAGGGGGTGTGCGCCAAAGGGGGTGGGGTGCGGGGCCGCCGCCGCCGCCGCCGCTGCTGCCGAGGCGCAGGAGGTGAAGCACGAGGAGGGCTGCTGGCGCCCGCTCCGGCCTCTCCCGCACGGCCCGCGGCGGCGCCACAGGCCCCGCGACCCTTGCACCGACGCCCTCCGACCGCCGGCCCCGCGCGGCCCGCAGCGGGGGGCCGGCGATGGCGCGCGGCTGAGCCCGCCGCCGCCGAGCTGCATGCAGCGGGGCGCGCCCGCCCGCCCGCAGCCTGCGGCCCTCGGCGCCCCCCGGGCTGCGTCCGGCCCGACGCGGAGGAGGAGGAGGAGGAGGCGGAGGCGGAGCGGCGGGCGGCGTGGGTCGGCCCGGGCTCCCCGCGCGCCGCGGCCCCGGAGCACGGGCTCCCCGGAGGGAGCTCGGGGCGTCCCCGTCCCGGAGGCGGGACCCGGAAGCAGAAGCGGAGCCGCGAATCGAGCCGAGCCGCTGCCCCCGCTGCCCGCCGGCGCCGGCTGGGGGTCCCGGCGGCTGGATGGGCGGCGGCGGCGCGGGCCGCGGGCGGCGATGGGCGAGGAGCAGAGCACGGTGAGCGGCGGCGGCGGGGCCCCCGAGGCGCGGGCGCCCGCCGCGGGCGCCACGGCCCCCACCGGACCCCCGAGAGCGCCCCGGCGGGACAGCGCCGGGGCGCCCGGGCCTCGAGCCCTCCCGGCCGAGACGGCCGGCGGGGGCTGCGGAAGCGACGCGGGCTGCGCCGACCCGAGCCGCGTCCCGGAGCCCGCGAGGACCCGCGGGGGCACGGGCTGGGGGCAGAGCCCGGCGGCCCCGGGGCGCGAGCGCGTGCAGCTGGCACTGGCCGAACCCCTGAACCCGCAGGCGTTGCAGCTGCAGCTGGCCGAGGAGGCGGCGGCGGCCGAGACCCGGCACCCGCGCGACGACGGGGATGATGAAGCCCCCGAGGCGCCCGGCGCCGGGGCCCGGGACCCCGGACTGGGCTTGGACGTGCTGGGGCCGCGGCGGCCGCCCCCCGCCCCGAGGCACGTCTTCTGCTCCGTGTACTGCGTGGAGAATGACCTGCCCGACGTCCCCGCCACCCCGCGGCCCGCGTCGCCGCCCCCTCGGGGGTCGCCTGTGACCCACCCGCCCGGCACTCCAGCTTCCTTGCCCAGCCCCCCGGCGGACCCTCTCGCCCCCGACGGCGGCAGCATCGAGCTGGAGTTCTACCTGGCACCCGAGCCTTTCTCCGTGCCCAGCCTGTTGGGAGCGCCCCCCTACTCCGACCTGGGTGGGGTCGGGGACCCCTATGCGCCCCTCATGGTGCTGATGTGCCGGGTGTGCCTGGAAGACAAGCCCATCAAGCCCTTGCCCTGCTGCAAGAAGGCCGTGTGCGAGGAGTGCCTCAAAGTCTACCTGAGCTCCCAGGTAAACTCCCCCCCTCAACCTCCCCTCCCCGGTGACCCCCGCCTTCGTCTGATCCCTTCAGCATTTCAGATCACCGGCCTGGAAGGCCAGCTCCCTGTGCACAGGGAGAGCTGACGAGACACCCCAGGAAGGACTCGCTCAGTTTCACCCTTGCCAGTTGTAGCTGCGGCTGTGGCAATATTATTTAAAGTATATTTTGGCCTCCCTGGTTAACTTGAGTGGAATTTAACTCTGCATAAGCCCAGGGCTTGTGTTGGCAGCCCTGGAAGGAACAAAGTGCAAGGTATTGCCCTCTGCTTCTGTCTTTTACTAGACTGCAAGCAAGAGCTTGCTCAAAGTGGAGAGCCAGCCTTGGGAATAGCTCCTCCGCCTGTTGAAAAATGGGCATCAGATAGAGCTGGTGAAGAAAAAGGTGGGAATGAGTACTTCTAGTCCTTGATTCCTGAGTTTTTACGTTTGCTTCGTTCATGCAGTCAGTAAAGGGTAAGCTGAAAAAAATTGCAAAACACAAAAAACGTTTCTTGGCTCTCGCCCACTTTTCAGTTTTCTTTTTCCACAGGAAAATTGAAGTCTTTTTTTCCTCTCTGAAGTCTTAAGCTAACACAGTGCTTGTTTAAGAGGGTACAAAACAGAAAGACCAAAACAGAGCAAAGTAGGGCTGAGAGGTTTAACAAAACAAGCACTGGGGAAACTTCCTCAGCTCCTTATTTGAAAGTGTTTTTTTTTTTTTCTTGGAAAGCTTAAGAGTGCAGTAGACCAGCTTTCTTTCCCTGATGGTGTATCTGTTCTTCCTGCAGTTTTCAATCTGTTAGTTTCTTTTCTGGCAGTGCTTTGCACAATCAGGAATGCCCTTTGATCCTGTGTCTGGTTGTCCTCGGCCTATTCATCTTTCAATACCTTGGCTGTTCAGGTGCCAACTGTTCTGCAAAGCTTTCCTCCATCCCTCCCCCGACACACACACACTCCCCCCCCCACCACCAAATACACACTCCCCACCACACACACACACACACACACACACACACTCCAGGCCACTGCTTATATATACTCTCAGAAAACTGTCTTACATGCATAGACATTTTTCTTTATGTGTTGGGCAATGTCGTACAGCCCCTGTATCTGGTGGTTTCATGCTGATTTCCTTTCCCACAAAAGCAGTTTTGTTGTTGTTGTTTTTTTGCTTCTCTTAAATTTGCTGAAGTGAATTTAACTGGATTCCATACAATGTGGTTTCTCTACATTTTGTGGTTCATCCATGCTTCTAGAATGAAAGTGTGTGCTGTGCCCAACTGAAAATGCAAAGAGAAACTTAGGATGGAATGTTACACAAACGGTAATGTGGCCAAGACAGTCAAGATTGCCCAAACGCCTGTGAGAGTCTATATCTTTTTCATGCTTTGTCCCACAGATACTTGAACAGGAATGTCTGTTGCTCACTGTGATAGTTTCTGTGACATCACCATCAGACGCTGGTGTCGTCGGTGTGTAAAAATTCTGTGGTGGGATTCAGCCATCCTCCAAATCTCCACAGACCCTGTGAGATCAGATGTCTAAGTAAGAGCAACACCAGGTAGCAGTGATGACATGGAGTAGGCAGGCTTGCTGTTTGAAGCTGGATACAGATGCAGTGGGTTTAAGAAGTTCTGTGGAGGAAGGAGCCATCATAGTTTGAGGTGCTCTGTCTTGCAGTTTGATTTCCCTAAAGTAGGCCCTCTTTTGCATAGCGGATTTTTCTTAACCTATGTGTATTAGTTTTAGGAAGGCATTGATTGATCTCTGGTGGATGATAGAAGGAACTGGGGGTGGCAGGGGGCAGGGTGAATCGGGGTGTCATTATAATGTGTAACCGCTAAAGACTCCTCCAGGGTAAGGTGTAGTATTTGAAACTTGTCTCTAGTAGTATTTATGATTTTATGTATGTTCCTGACTTTCGTCCAGTATTTGACAGAATGTTCCATAAAAAAAAAACCCTTCATTTAAAATAATAAACAGCAAAAAGATGAGTCATGCGGGCTAGTCTTGGTTCTGTAAGGTTTTCATACTTGCTGCTCTTGTGCCTGGAATATCCGTTCCCTCCCCACCCTCCATGCTATTCCCTCTGCTTTCTTATTCCTCCCCCTTCTCACTTTCAGGTTTGTGTATGGGACTGTCACAGATCATCCTACAGTCATTGAATGATGCATGTAAAAAAATGCATCTGTTATTATTCATCAGACACACTAGGATTTCCAGCATGAGTGATTTTTTTTATTTTTTTAAATTTATTTAATTTTGGTTATTATTTTTTTTTAATTTTTATTAGTGAAACACCATGAGGTAAAGTTGTAGACTTACAAATTTTTGTGCTTGGGTTTCAGTTATACAATGATTTATTCAGCCCTGGGGAAACAGCTCAAAGAGGCCCTAGTTCAGTCACCACCTGGCCCTTCCTAGTACTGGGTAGAGCCACGGTGGTCCCCTGCACACCTCGGGCTGGCCTTGGCAGCTCCAGCACAATGTAGAGAGCAGCTGTGCGTTGCCAGTTGAAGCAGCTAATGGTTGGGCCCACTTTTGAGTATTGCTGGTAGTGCCCCTAGGCTTTGGCATCATTGGTAAGACTCCCCCTCTTCACCCCCCCACCCCCCCGGGTCCCCAATTAAAACATACTAAAGAATTTAGGACTGGAAAGGTATTATGCAGTGGATGGCAGTGGTCTTCCTTGCACGTGTCTGACCCAGATTTGGTCCCCAGTACCACATATAATTCCCCAAACCCTGCCAGGAGTGATTCCCTGAGCACAGTGCCAGGAGTAAGCCCTGAACATGGCTGGATATGATCCCCTGAATCTCCTCCCTCCCACCCACACACACACTCACACAAAGAAAAGGAGAGAAAACCTGATTCATATAATGTATATATTTTTAACATAATAGAATCAAGCTGCACATAAATAAAAATACCACAAAAATTTCCAAATACTTAGAAATTTAACAGTATTTTTCTGTTCTGTTAGTAAAAGAGGACAGCAGTTTCAAAAAAAGAATTAGGAAATATTGTTTTGAAAATGTTCCTAGGAATTTATAATGTTAAATGCTTCCCCCCCCAAAAAAAAGAAAGGAGACATTCTCTTTCAGCGAGCTGAGTATCCACCTTGAAATCTAGAAATGGAAGAGCCTATTAAGTCCCTATAAGCTGAAAAATGCGTTCACAAATTGACTAGAAGAATAGACCAAATTGAAAATGGAAAACATTACAAAACATAAATGAAACCAAAATATTTTTTGGACAATCAACAAAAGTGGTAAAGGTAAAGGCCCTCCCGTTGATCATCGATTTGCTCGAGCGGGCCCAGTAGCGTCTCCATTGGAGACTTTGTTGTTATTGTGTCTGGCATATTGAATACGTCACGGGGAGCTTGCCAGGCTCTGCCGTGCGGGCGAGATACTCTCGGTAGCTTGCCGGGCTCACCTAAAATAGAAGGGGCGAGAGAAGTAGTTCAGTGAGCTGACTGCATGATATGCATGTGGAAGACCTAGATTTGATCTCCAGTTCCACGTGGTCTCTTGAGCACCACCAGGACTGACCTATGAACACAGCCAGGAGTCGTCTGTAAACACTTGTCAGAATGTGGCCCCAAAACCAAAACAGCAAAGTGAAACTGAAAAAAAAAAAAAAAGAAATGAGACATATGATCAAGATTAGAAGTGAAATTGATGATCTCACTGTAATATACTAAAGAGTTGTAAGGAACTGTTGTGAAAATGAGCTAAAAAACAGAGATGAGAGGTTGAGGTAACTCAAAACTTGCATCCAATCCCTGATCCCACACTGCCTCCCAAGCGCCACCAGTAGCCCTGGACACCCAACACTGCTGGGCTGTGCAGCACTGCAGGGCTGGATATGGGTGGCCCTCCCCAAAGGAAAGAAACTTAGGTGAAGTAGCCCTATTCCCTGAAAACTACAAACTGCCAAACATGAAGAATAAGAGAGCACCAAAGTTCTACATTCTTTTCAACACAAAAATAAGATCTGATTGAAACAAACTGAATTTAAATTTCAGAGCTGAAAAATTTGTTACCTGTAAATTGGCACTGTAACACTGTCCTCCTGTTCATCAATTTGCTCGAGCGGGCACCAGTATCGTCTCTGTTGTGAGACTTGTAACTATTTTTGGCATATCGAATAAGTCACAGGTAGCTTGCCAGGCATTGCTGAGTGGGCAGTATACTCTTGTTAGCTTGCCGGGCTCTCCTAGAGGGCCAGAGGAATCGGATCCGGGGTTGGCCGTGTACAAGGCAAATGCCCTACCTGCTATGCTATTGCTCCGGCCCACCTGTAAATTAAAAATTTAAAAATAGAATGCAGATAACAAAAATTTGTGATTGAAAATAAAGGGTTCCTATTATTACACTCTTTTCCCACATTTTGTATTTTCTTTAGTATCTGGTTACTTATAAGTCAGGCAGGCAGGCTGGCCTGCCTTCCTCCCTCCCTCCCTCCCTCCTTCCCTCCCTCTCTCCCTCCCTCCCTCCCTCCCTCCCTCCCTCCCTTCCTGTCCTCCTCTCCTTCCATCATGCTGTTCCCTTCCTCTTCCCTACCTCCCCACACCTGCTATACCTTCAGCCCTAAGCTGATTTAGTAGAGATGAACTTCTTTAGTTTATTCTTCTGAAAAGCACTTAATTCTTATTTCAAATCTGAGTGATAAACCTCTCTGGGTAGAGTACACTTGGTTGGAGATTTACTCCATTTAGCACAATATATACATATATATCATGCCTCTCTGTAAATGTACTATCTTATGGGTTTCTCTTATATGGGAGTCTTTGCTTTTATCTTGCTGTATTGAGTTTCTCTTTATGATTCTGTCAAGATTCAAAAAATCTTTTGAGTTTTATCATTTATTACAGTGTTTGTCAATGTACATCTGTTTTAGATAATTTTGTTTAGAACTCTGAGCATCTTGGATCTGGGAGTCTAATTTCATTCTCAGCTTGGGAAAGTTCTTGGCTATTATTTCCA